GACACCAAAAACACCAAGGTGTAAAAAGCAGGGAAACCCAGAGAAGCCCAACACAGGAGTGTGGCTGTGGTGCTGGCTGAGCGCACTTCAGTGCTTCCTCCCTCCGTTTACCTTGCCTGCAAGCAGGGACGCAACTACCAAGTCAGTGAGTTGCAAGATGCTGAGCCGCGCCAGACCGCTCAGCTGGTGCACGGCACTGCAGCCAAGAAAGGGCACTTCCCCCGGCAGCCCCCTGCACTTCTTGACTCGCAAAGCTGCCACCTCGCAAGGCGCCTGCGGTCAGAAGCTGCACATGGACAGAAAAACCACCCAACTCGCACAGCATACAGCCAGGCCACAGCTGCGGCACCTGCTTGCACTCAGAGATGCTGGGGAGAGAGATGAACGACATCTCTGAGAGGAGCAGCAAAACATATGCATTAGGATTAAAACCAGTGCCACGCGGAGCAGAGTTTCTGGCTCCAGCACTGAGATAGGCTTCGCCAGCAGGCTCAGCGCAGGCAACGCTGAGCTCTCCCTGACCACCGCCACGCTCCGAGAGCGGCTGGGGCCTGCAGAAGACTGGAGGAAGGTGCCTTTGCCACCTTCGTCCTCCCTCTGCACCACACAGCTCCTGAAAGGAGTGGAGAGCTGGGAAGAGGCAGCTGCTTCCACAGTTTGCAGAGCTGTAGCAGTTACCCTTCAGCTGCTGTGTGGAGATAGCAGCACCCCGGGGCAGTGGTGGTGGTCTGGTCCCCAGGGTGCGCAGGTACTGCTGGCACCAGGGAGCAATTCCCACTGCACGACCTTCTCTTTGCTCTACCTACCTGGCGGGGGGAGGTCGAATTTCATCTTGCGCAGTTCAGTCATGGACATCTGCAGTTGCTCAATGACAGCATCATCCTCATACTGTAAGGAAGCAGCAATTTTCTCCTGCAGAAATTCCCGTAAATCTTCCAGAGACATCTTCAGCAAACGTTCTAGGTAATGGCAGAGAACACAGCAAAGTAAGGAGAGCAGCATGGCCAAATCACAGGGTTTTGTTTCAGTACGCAACGGTGTGCAGGTAGCATTACTTCGGTTTTGTCTAGGTGGGCAGAGGGAAATCTGCCGAGCTGGGGGATTCTGCTGCCATTTGCAAATCAACGCTCTGGGGGTGAGAAGGTCTGAACACGTTTGCATCTCCTCCTGCTTTTCTTCCGGGGTTCAGGGTTGTCTGTCCATGCCCTGCTCTCACCAACACTTACGCATCCCTATCAGGTAAGTCCTCTGAGCAACGTCTGTCCATGCCCTGCTCTCACCAACAACCTGCTGCTGGTTGCTTAGCAAGAGTGAGGGGACAACACGGATGTTGGCAGGTGTTTGTGGGGGCAGGGCCTGGGACAAGTAGGCTGTGGGTTATTTTGAGAAGTTCTCGCTGATACCTCTAGGAGGAGGAAAAGCTCCATGTGATAGACCCCAAGTGACAGGCTGAACAGCAGGCAGTGCCTGCTGCTCTTCCAGTCACAGACTTAAGTCTCCTGATCTAACAGGGCCGCAGAGTAACGCCTTGTAACTTGAGGCAGGCAGGGAGAAAGCAGTTTCTAACTTTCTAACGAGGCTGGTTGGCTCACCTCAAAGGCACAAAGATCTCGAGAGAGAAATGGCACTGCCTTAACATTATGCAAGAAAAACAAGTTTGGGCATTTTAGAGTATTTTAAAGGTATATTAATGAATTTATTTCTCCCTCTAAGCCCTTTGCAGGAGCCCTCGGCTCAGTTTGATTGCCCAACTAAAGTAACAGGAAGCTTTTCAGAGCAATGCCAGGTTTCCATCCTTTTTGCCCTTCCTGGCAAAGGGGGCACGATCTATATTGCCATCGCTAAGCCTGCGCCGTCACACACAACGGGTGCAGCCGTTCGCCCCCCCGCTACAGTGTTCCCCAGCACCTCCAACGCCCTGGCAGTGGCGACTGTGCAGCGAGTAAGATGAGCTAGCTAAAAACAAATCACTGCCTTTGGATGGCAGCATAGACTTAAGCTAACCTGAGCATGAAAGGGCACCTCTCAAATTGTGGCTACGTGGCAGCTAATCCATTCTGCTGCCGAAAGGGCTCTCCCGCCCTCCCCAGGAGCGCGTTCCTGTGCCAGCGCTGTACGTGTCCCTGTGGCCGGGTGATAAGGGTGGAGCAGGGAATTTCCACAGCCACATCGGTTACTGCTCACATTCACAAGCTGAATTAGGTGATGGGGTAACCATGGCCTAACATGGTATGACCTATGCTGTATCAGACAAGTAGGGATTTCTGCTGGGATCTTACTTTTGTGCAGTTTGAGTATTGTGTAAGCCATGGCTGTCAGGACCCGTTCTCCTTCCAGGATGTAGATATCCCATAGCCGCAAAGTGAGAGTGAAAGGCGTCTGCATCAAACAAACAAACCCAGCTCATGAGACAACACAGAGACTTCTTTCCTGCGTTACTCTAATTGCACTGACTTCTGGGATGACAAATACAGACAAATACGTTAGTGGCATAAATATGTCCGCCTGCACTGAAACGCACAACAGAGCAAGGCACTTGATGTCCACGATTCTTCTAGACTGAGATGTATTTTATCATCCACGGTTCTGGTTTAAGGCTAACAGTTGGGTGGCCAGGCAGTTGTACTTAAAACAGAGACAGGAGTGCAGGGAAAGGAGAAATATCCTGTTTTCAAGGGGGATGTCAGAACTGCCCAAGTAAATGGCTGTTTGGGTGACAGAACTGGAGGTGCCCGCTGCCCTAGGACTGGAGCGGGATGGGGGATTTCACTAGCATAAAAAAAAGGACTACCACGGGGCCTTGCGGCACACAGAGATTTCTTTCTGAGACAAGGCTGAGAAGTAGTCTTCCTTATACACGGGCTTATTTCTGCTTGCTAGATTATCCTCCAGGCACCTCTAGAAGAGGTTCTTACTTATGCCCGGACCCATTCTGACAAGCAGGAACGAACTGGTATCCAAAACGACGGAGCAGCCTGTTATCCAGGGAGGTCAGTGGGTTTTTCGGGCATCTCACCAAAACAGAAGTTAATACTACTCCTCCTGTGACACGTGAGTTCATATTTAGGATGGTACACCACTTCTCCAGAGTTTGGCACAACTGATCACCACAGCTCATTCACCATAGATTACAGCAGTTGAAGGGTTTTGTGTTTTAAACAGCTTTTATCCAAGGAGGGCACACCTCTGTACAAACGCCACTGAATTCGCTCCCGAAAGGAAGAGGTTATCCTCTGTTTTATGAGAGATAGGGAAGCAGAAACTTGGGACTGTGGACACACAGATGTACATTACCAAGCCCAGAACTTTGTTCAAGCGTGCAAGCATAGGGTTGCCCCTAATTTGCTCAGCCTTGGCAAATTAGCCTTGGACAAATCGGGGCAATTTTCTCTTGCTTTCATGTGTCTCCAGTGCACAGCCTGCTCATTTGCGTGCAAGTGCTGTAGTGCAATTTGTTCAGGTTTATGCCTCAAGCTCTTCTTCTCCATACATGTTTCCAGAGCCAAAGTGAAGTTAATTGCCTTTGCAAGCTTGCAGCTGTGCCAGCAGGCCAGAGAAAAACCTCTCCCAATTTTGAAACTCATACCTTTGCTCTAAAACCCTCTCCCAGCTATTATTTAGTGTGGCAGTCAAAGTTTGCTTGTCATCAGCCTTGAGTGACATGCAGTTATTTTTAGCTTCTCCCTTGTTAAAGTTTCTGCCTCATGAAAATATGCATAATATCCCACCTTGTAAATATTCAGATCTTCTTAAAATTAAGATTCTGTTTCAAAATTCAGTAATAAAATAACCACAATCACTGTGCATAAGGTGGCCGAGCGGAAAAATAACCCACAAACAGCGCTCACCCGGTCGATGAAACACTGCAGGAACCATTTGGTCGTGTAAATCCCCGTAGTCATCTGTTCCTTGTCCTAGGACAAGACAGCAGAGACATGCGTTTCATCAGACGGGCTGCTGGATGCTCAAGCAATTCAAAGGGCTTTTGGGGAGGGTTGGTTGGTTCACTAATGGTGGATTCTGGTTCTGACTGTGGCTTGTCAGGCTCTTGTTGGCACCCTGGACCGCTCTCTAATCCCAGCATGGTCCCTACTTTAAACACCAACCCTGAAGTCCTGGTTTGGCCCTTTTCCCAAGATATTCACTGAACGTGATCTTCACTGGGGTCATGGCTGGAGCCAGATTTCAGCCATTCCAGACCTTCAGAGAGGAATTTCCGTGAGAAGGTTTTCTGGGCTAATTTCTGCTCCAGGAACCGAAACCACGTACTCCTCAGAGATTAATGTTTCTGTTTCCATAGCAATTCCCATTCAAGCCTCTCAGAGCACCACAAAAACAATTAACCACTAAGTATCCCACAAGTAAAAACCGCACCTGTACAGCAAAGCCGATTTTTGTAGCGCTAACTCATTCGCACAGTACGCCTGCTCCAAAAGCGTAACAACCTGCTCCACAGGTTAAGGAAACTCTTAAAAACCTCACTGACATCACCAAGATCTATCACTTCTGCACCAAGACCTATTGCTTCTGCAGGCTGTAGGCTCTCAGAGGCGACATATAAACTGGACATCTACCTGGGCAGACACACACCAAAGAGGGACCTTTGCCGTCCTGCCAAGTGTTCAGTAACACTTAGCTAGAGGCAGCTGTTCATTAGTGCTAAATGCTTGCTAGGATCGCTACAGAGAGCGCAGTCAACGGGCAAAGCACGGACCTGGACCCCTTTCCAGCACCCTGTGAAAGAAAATAGGCGTCCTGTTTTCTAGGGAACACGCTACGCGCTCCAGCTGGGAAAACACAGGTACTGGTACTTACTGACTCCTGGAGCCTCTTAATGAAGGTATTTTTTTTTTTCCTGTTGGCTGGGATTCGAGTTATTCCCATCCTCCTCCCTTTTTTCCCCCAGTGGCTATAATTAAGTGAAAACCTGTCCTGGCTCTGTTTTACTTACACAGCCAGGGCTGGCTCATTTGCAGCACTAAGCAAGAGCTGTTTCAGATGATGGCAATATAAACAGCTTTTCCTGGAGTGGTGCCACAGAGCCCCTCGGGAGCATAAGAAACCTTCAGGAGTCTGGCCCTGAATACCAAACGTCTAAAACAAATGCAAGGGGGGGGAGGAGGAGAAAAGAAGGGGGAGCAGGTGTTGCAAAATCGTTGCCTAGCCGTTCGGCTGCGGTCGCTGTGTCCCGCAGCCGCTCCTCCAGCCGACAAACGGGCTTGTACCATCTGCTGAGGAGAAAACTAAACTGGACGTGCCGAGCCAACTAAACGAAACGACATCACGTCACGTCTTACGCTCCTGCCTCCCCGTTGGCAGGGATTCTCCTGCCTGCCGAACAGCAGAGCAGGTCAAGGGGAATGTTGAACGCAAACACACAGGGCTAATAATTATTCAGGTAAAACTCCAGACGTTCCAGCATCACCCTTGGGGTTTCATGGCCAGGGTAATATAGCAAGGCTCCACTGTTGTATGAAATAGCTCCTTTTGCCTGCAGTCTTTATAAAAATCTTCCTGCCTGGCTTTCCTAAGAAAGCCTTTGGATTTCAGCAGTTCCTACGCTGATGTGTGTATCAGGCAAAAAACGATAACCATTCACCTCAGCAAGATTCACAGACAAACCACTTGCTAAACACTTGCCTCTTTGTGGCTGAAGCAGTTGTACGCAATTAGAAACACGTTCAGTTGTGCATGTGCTTGGCAGAACGTTACATTAATTGCTTTAACATTAAAATGTGACATTAGCATGGGAAGACTGATAACAAAGAGTTACCATGTGCTTCTTCAGCTTTGGAAACAGTTTGCTTAAAATCTGCTCATGATGAGCTTGAAATCTCTGCAGCTTCGGGAACCCAGGAATGAAAAAACCTTAACAAGAAAACACACAGAAGAAAACAAAAAATTAGAAAAGCTTTGGGAGCAGTCAGAGGGGCAGCTTGATTTTCAAGCAAGCTCACTCGCTACATCACCCATGGAAGTCAGCGGGACGAAAGGGTGCCTCGCAACCCCCGCGTAACTTAGGCTCCGTGCGCATCTCTTCCATAGCTTGTGTTTTACTTCTACACCAAACTCCAGCACAAACCACCCCATCGTACCCAAACTGATCCTTCTAAATCCATCCCTGGAGAAGAGACTAACTCGCACTTCCAACCTGCTACCCGCTTTAGACTGGACCTGGTGCTCACTGGCAAAGACCTCTCTGGAGCTGGGTCAGGCAACTTTCCTTGCCTGGCAATACACCACTACCTCACATCTCAGGGTTTACAAGTTTAGACAGAGTTAAAGATGTTTGAGCCAACGTTGATACAACACAAGCTTGTAGAGTACCCTGTCACCTAGCAGGAGATGCATCTAACGCACCTCCTGGATGTATTTTTTGGGAAAGCTTTAGTAAAACCAGACGGTAGTTCTGTGCTGCCCCACATTCTCCCTTGGACTATTACATCCCAATATCCTATTATGTCCCCCCAAAAGCAGTGCTTTAGCAGCAAGTATAGAGCAAGATTAGAACTGGAGAAAGCTGTATTAGGGCTTCTTCACAGAGGCCCTCTAAAGCTAGCAGATTATAAGGCCTCGCTCTCCATTTATAAAATAACCTGGGCGCATACATTGCTTTTAACCGCAAATAAGATGAAAGAACCTTTAAGGTGGTTACAGTAAACTAATACATCGCGTTTTGTGGACATACACCTTAATAAACATATTAGGGAATGTAGCTCATGGCATATTTAAAACAGAGCACTACATGGTGGTGCTCTTGGATGTACTTCTGTTAAGACTTTTTAAAAACTCATAACCTTGAGTTAATTGATTGCCAAGGGCAAGACACTTTGGAGGAAAGATATCACCTTTATAAGAGTGTTAATTACTAAGCGTTAAAGTTCAGTGAAGATAAAGCACGTTTTTCTCGGAACTTGTCAGCCTCCAAGAGGGAAGCTCAGCTCTGTACTTAGTTTGCTTTGGCATGTAATTAAATCTTACCTGCTTTAAACCAGCATGCAGCAGCAACAGGGAAAACAAGGCTCTACTGACCAAATAAATAGTAACCTGTGGCCTTCTCTCAGCAAATCTCCGTGGGCAAGCTCTTGTCCTGCCCCGCTCCCAAGCCTTACCATGCATCGCGTGCCTCTGGTTGGTTAGCAGCTGTGCCAGTGCCCAAAACGCATCCTCTTCATTTAAATACATCAGCAGGATGGCTGCAATCTGACTCATCCCTTGGCAGTAGCTCACTTCCTGCAAGAACCAAGAGGGGCACATGTGCTCACATGCCACGTACGCTCAGTGCAGCCAGCTTAGCTTGCGTGCAGCTGCAGCTTCCTCCGTGCAACGTTTCAAAACCCTCTCAATGTTGCTACTTGCAAAAACGCACACGTGGGACGTGGGAAAGACCCAAGGGAGGATGCAGCAGGGATCCCCGGGGCCCTCTGCAGAGCATGTGCTGCTCAGTTGCTAAGCCAGAACTGTCAGCAGTTTAAGCTGCCTGTGCCTCCCTCTCCTGTTTCAAGGTCTCTGTGGGTTTTGGTTGTTGTTGTTTTTTTACACTATCTATTCCCAAATTTATAGCTCCCCTGAGGTGGATATGATATGTTCTACAGTGACCCACTTGCAAGGCTTTAAAATCTCTGAGCACCTTCACGTGACGGATAAAACCACCACATGAACTTCTCCCTAATTTTCCCAGTCTAGGGAAGACACCTGAGCTCTGCTTACCTCAGCACGAGTCAAGCTTTTACTTGAAAAACCTCCCCGAGTTTGTACCATTCGCTGAACAGCACTTTCAAAATGCTTATAAAAGACTTTAAGGATGCCAGACCTGGGGGACAGATCACCACAGAGCTGTGTTTCCACAGCAGATTAGACATCAGAGGGTTTAACATCAGGCCGTAGCACACACATTCACCCCACCTCTCTTTGGGCTTTTTCAGCTGTGACAGCTAGACTGGGAGCTTCGACCTGGCTGCAGACCTCTGCTTTACTTCTCCAGGGTCCCGGCACACCCGCAAAATAAACCAACAGTCCCGCCGAGCTGCCTGCACCAGGGGGCTGGGTAATTCCCTACCATGAAGATGCGCCTCTGATCCAACCCCATCAGTGTCGCTTGAGCCTGGAGGGTGGAGTGAAATAAATGCAAATCTGAGCTGCAAAAAGCCAATTCCTCAGTAGCCCTGCAGCTACTTCAAGGAAAACCGAATGGCATGATAAGCAGCATGTGGCTCTGATGCTATTTTGGATTCCCTTAGCCATGCAAGCAGTGAAGTAATTAAAAAAAAAAATCTGGAAAGCCTTTATGTCTGCGGCAAGAGGGAAGGAAGGGACTTTGTCTCTGGCTACTACCCTGCGCAGCCTGCGCCTTCTGGAGTAATTGTCCCCTCCCGGCAGATGAAGGCAGTAAAGTCTGCAGCTAGTTTTGGCCTATTCTGCCTGTGTCCTTCTGCTAAAAACGACTGGTTCACTGTAACAAATCAGTGTTTTCAACAATGAGGATGCTATACAATGTATGACAAAAAGTCAAAAATGGGATGTATAGAGAAATTCTTTGACCAGGAGGCTAGTCTTGCAGGAAAGTCGAAGCAAATTCTTGTCCTGTGCTGACACTCATCCAAATCAAATCCACAAGATGTCATTTACCAGTGGAAAAAATGAAGAAGGGAATGAAACGACAGTGTGAAGAATTCAACACTTACTCTGCCTGCAAACATGTCCTATGGCAGCTCTCTGTACAAACCAGCATTAGGAGTTAGACTGGAATTACCATTGGCTCCACAAGGAAGGTAAATGGTGACTGCAGGTTAAATATGTCAGCACAGTACTAGTCACTTTAATTGGACTAACTTACTACTTACGGTGTTATAAACCGAGTATGCTGACAGCACGTGGAACAGCGCCTGTTGCCTAGGGACAAAGAAGGACATGAAAACACGTAAGCGTGAAGTCTTAGGCTTTGTGTGTACACAAACACACACGCGCACAGAGAGCAAAGGCTTTAAAAATAACCAAGCTTACGTCTTTTACAAGTTCCCCACAAAAGAAACATCACTCAAAGAGTTACGCAGCATTGCTGCAAGCACCTCTACAGGCAAGCGCGACGGAGCCACTTCCTTCAGCAGAGACGCGCCAGGAGCTCCACACAGCAGGGCTGAACGAGGCTGCTGCATCAGCAGATCGCCCAGGAGGGGATGTGTACGTACCCACGCGCAGGGGCCCACGCGCACTGCTTTCAGTGCGCCTGCTCTTAAGGTTCGGTTTGGTGGAGTTTCTACTGTCTTTTAAAGACTTGCAGCAACCCAGGTATCAAGTGCTACAAATCCCAGGGGTAAAATTCTGTCACCATTATTTATTAGCTTTCTCCTTTCTCCCTTCCCTCCTTGCTAAAGGAGTCATCGTCATATACACGAGTAAGCAGCACAGATTTCCTTGCGTGGCATGTTTCTGTGCGGGTGTCAGCCCTGTCTAGGGCAGCCGTGCTGTGGCTCACCCAAGAGACAAAGCCATTTTTCCCAAACTTCTTCAAATTCATCCATTTTAGAGGCCACGTGCACTGCACCTCACCCAGGCCCGCGTGGCCCTGCCCCAGCTCCCTGCCTTCCCAAATCAAGCCTTCTGCAGCTCTGACCTAATAACTTCCCGCGCGCCCTGGGGATTGGTCACCGCAGTAGGGTGGTGCCTGGCTCAAGAACTGCAGCTGATCGCGGTCCAGTTTGGACCTGTCCAAAGAGGGAGTCAAGAGCTAAATTTGTGAAATCTGAGAAATTAGAAACCTTGGTCCAGGCTCCTCTGGGGAGGTACCTGGCTCACGACACCAGCCCAAGGCGTACCCTGCGCCCTTGATTTGCAGAGCAGGCGCAGAGACGGCTCTGCTCCTCGGTGACCAGCCTTGGCCTGAACTAGGAGGCAGGAGGCCGTCCCACTCGGATGGCCTGCACTAAACTAGTTCGTACGTGGTTGCTGCCCAGAGGATGCACAGCCCCAATACCCTCACTCAGAAACCGTGCGAAGCCTTGCACGCCATACTCACTTCACTCCATAGCGATCCCGAAACATGATATGGTTTCGGAAGGTGCGGTTAACATCCAAATCTATCTGCTTGACTTCCGATGAAAAGCTCTTTGCTTGCTCCTTCATTTTCTGGATGGGAGAGAGAGGTAGACAAAAGGAAAGGGTCAGACATCCTCCAAGCCTACATCTCTGGCCACACGGCTCACTCAGGAGAAGATGCCCCTTCCTACAGCAGGGGAAGTCAGAGACCTTTCAGCCTGCTAGTAGCTGCCGCGCGTGACTTTTGCAGAGCTATCGCAGACATTCAGACACTGCTGTTTGGCAGAGAGCAAACTGCAGCCTGGAGATGACCTGCCTCCCCCTCGGCCGTTCTGCCCCATCTGTCTGAGGCCAAGTGATAGAGGAGAGGCTGAGGTTTCAACCAGGCCTGGTCCTTCCACTGCTGATCCCACCGCTGTGGAACAAGCGCAAGAAGGAAAACGTGAGCCAGACAGCCCAGCAGCCACTGACGAAACACAGCCTCTGCTGATGAGCTCAGAGCACCAACCTGCGCGCCGCTTAACCCTCTCCACCTTAGCAGACAGGCCAGGTACGTCGAAGGGGATGGGGAACGGCAACCGAAGCAAACCCCCTGCTCATCTTTGTGCAAAGGCAGACCGCAAGCGTCTTGGCAGCACGCACGCCTATACAGGGGGACCTGAATAAACGTATCTGAATACGCCACTGAATAAATGCCACGCGTGCAGAGGCAGTGCTGAGCCTCCACGGCATGCTCTTTTACCGTCCCCCTTGTCACCGAGGTACCTCCAAAACAAAGACTGCAGCGCTCTCACCACTGAAGTCAGTAATGAGCTTGCTGAAAGAAAAACACACCACCCCCCCTGCTGTGACTGACACTACCACCAAACCAGCATTTGCTCGTCTTAACATGCTTAGACCAGGCCCGGCACTCTCTCTGCGGCTTCTAATAAAGCATCAAGACCTCTGTTGGGGCTTATCTAATGATACACGTTTATAGCCAATACACACACAGTCAACAGCACGCAGTCCCTAGGCTTTTCAGAGGCTCAGTCATAATGAAGCCCAAACTGTTATGACTCGGGTCTCTCTATGAAGTGATCTCTAACTGCTTCTTCCCCTGGAGGAGAGAATCATCATAGGTTTAGAAAGTTTCCACTGATTCCTGGAAACATAATTCTGGGGAATTATTGCACTAGGACTGGTGCAACGTTTAAGGAACTGGCAGAGTCTGGACTAGAAACTAAACTCCGGAACAGCCTCCTATTCCCCCCATGCAGGCTAATCCCTTAAGGCAGCGTCACACAGATGAAGGAGTGAAGTCACGGAATCACAGAATGGTTGAGGTTGCAAGGGACCTCTGGAGGTCATCCAGATGTTTTCGTTTCTGCGATGGAGATGTCCACCACATTAAAAGGAAATCTACTGCCAGAGCCGAGCCCACCTGAACGAGTTGCACGCTCCTTGCTCAGAGTCCCAAGCTCTGAACATGCTCCAGGGATGAATCTCGCTGCAGCCCCCTCCATAAACTTCCGCCTAGCCCTGTGCACGCAAGCAAGGACCGTTACGCTATAGCTCAGCATCTCACCTCACTTACAGCTTCTAGGTACCACTGCTGATCCTATAATTGCCCTCTTTCTTTAATAGCATTAAGGCTTAAGGGCATGAATAAAATATGTTCTGTGGCTGTGTTTTCAGGCAGCCTGAGATCCAGCAGCACGTTAGGGGCAGCAGAGATGAGCAGCAAGCCCAGCTCCCCTGGACCTGGGGGTCGGTTCTCCTCCTTGCCAGCACGGGAGGCAGAAGATCAGCACAGACACTCCCCCACCTGCTAGAGCAGCCACTGTCCTACAGTTGCTTGGCAGTCCGATACGAGGCGCCTCCAGGTTGTTGTTTACGTCCCAAAGTAGCCACGTCAGCTCTGGGGAACATGAGACGTCATTAACACCTGGATGCGTTCTCCAGCCCCACCTGGCCCCCGGCACCACTCCAGCGACGGCGAGGCTGAGCAGCACTGCAGGTTGCTCGTGTGCTCCCAGCACTCGGGGGCAATCGCAGCTTTTCTCGGGAATACTGAGTCAGACCTTGAAAGCAACCGCGTGGAGGAGCAGCAGTGCAGGGCTTATTTTGACAAGGAAGGCTAAAAAAAGACAGCGGCGGAATGAAGATCTGATAAACAGTATCATTTCCCTGCTTTAAATCCTGTGCTTTCTACATCCCATAACTCCTTGTCTGTTATAAAGGAGGGAGTCTACCTGAGACAACGTGACTATTCATACACACCAGGCCACTTCAGTTCAAATTTCCCTGCTAGAGACTTTTTTTCCCCTAGCAGAACACCACAGAAATCTCTCCCAAAGCCTATAAACACCAGTACTTTGGCATGCTCCGACTTCTTCAACCGTTCTCAATGAGCCTGGCTTGAAAGCGCGCACCGTGCGCTGCATCCGTCTGGGAAAAGCAGTGTGGCCCACAGGCCATCGCGCTGCCACCCAGGGCCACACCGGGGTTAGGGACAACGTGCGCTTTGCCAACAGAGCTGCTCAGGTACGGCACCGGGCATGCCAAACCCAGCTCCGCCACGAGGAGCCACACGGTGAGGATGCAACACAAGGCAGGCAAGAAACAAAAAAAAAAAAACACTGGACCTCAAGAGCAGGTATCTTGTGCAGCAGCTTGTGGCCTCTCTGCACCCAGGAGGCTTTATTAATTCTGCAGGCTGTAAACAAGCCCAGGGTTGGCTGTTTTTCTTTTTTCCTTATTGAAGTAACCCCGGGGGCTCCTGCAGCTGCTCTGCTCAGCTCATTAGTGCTGCCCCCTCTGACGGCAGAACGGAGGCTGGAAAGCTGGAGGTCCCGCGTGAGGGACCTTTTACAAGCAGCGAGTAAAAGCCAAGAAGCCTCTGTCCTGCCCTATGGCAAACGCAGCTCTCCTACCTTCTGTTTGGGCTCTCCTCAAACTCTCTCAGTCGTGGCTACAAAACAGAAACCCTAGGAAAGCAAACGGCTCTGGGCAAAGGGCTTAGCTCCCGCAGCATCACACCCACATCGAAACCGAGCTGCTAAGTCCCCTGACCGCAGGAACGCAGCACAACGCGGCCAGCCTCCGCGGTGCTGCAATAGCAGGGAACACCGAGCTGCCGTTCCCTGCAGGAAAACACAGGTAAAAATAAAGAAGGAAAACAACCGGAGCAGGCTTTTTAACTGAGGCACTCTGGAGCCAACGTGGACGGGGCGAGCAAGGCATCCAGAGCAGCTCGTGAGGTCGCTCCGTGGCCAGAGCGAGCGCAGGGGGGAGCAGCACACTCGAAATGTCTCTGCAGCGGGAGCAGCGAGCAAAGAGAACAAGCGGCTGGTTCAGCCGCCTGGAGGGACACGTTCATCTCCCGGGGACCCTCCCCGGGCAGCAGCTCCCATCAGAGCCCGCAGCACCCAGCAGGTCCTGCCCTCGCACCGGCGGACAGGACGCAGCCCCTGGGCAGAGGCTGGCTGAAGGCCCACGTGGAAGTTTTTAAGTCTGTGCCACGTTTTCTGCCCCAAGAGGAGACGGGCCAGCCTTGGGGCTGGCCCCGGCAGGACAAGGGGCTCAGACAGCCATCTCCTTCCCTTCTGAGAGGGAAATCCCTCTTCCAAGACGGGGCTCTGACTTTCCTCTGGAGGAAATTAAAGGGAGAGCTAATTGCTGGCGGCAGGTGGCACCAAAGAGGAGGAGGATTAAGAGGAGCTTTCAGGGATTTGAGTCCAGCAAAGCCTATTAACCCTGAAGCTCCTGTTTATTGCAGACCCCCCGGGAGCTCAGATAAACTACTTGCGACTTTCATTTATTTGGATTGCTTCCCTCCCTGCACGGCACAGCTTCTCAGGAGGGAGCGTGACCAAAAACTGCCTGCTGGGAAAACTTTGAAAGCCCTGCTCATTAGCACGATCCCACCCCACGGTCCCCCAAATCCCCTCATGTGACTCTTTACCAGCAGCATTTCTCTGCTATGCTTGACTAACCGTAAGAAGCGTTAGCGTTATCTTACTTAACAGGGTGAGATTTTAGAAATACCACGTAAGCACTCGGCTCTGCTGCGCCAGCCCACCGCTTGGTACTCACTGCCAAAAGCTCTGGAGTCCCCCACGCCCTGTACAGGCCTTTTCTCCTGCAGACCGTCCCCTGCCACACGTGCCGGCATCACGCGTCCGCTGGCTGGAGGGAGGGGACGGGGGGGACGTGCTTCCCGGCACGTCCGAGACACCCCACTCCTGTGGGGCCGGCGGGGCAAAGCAGCGGGGATCCCCCTCAGGCCCCCTTTGCCAGCAACCCCACACTGTCTCTGGAAACGCTATCATGTAGCTGTCCGAAACGCAGCTAGCAGAGAGGAAGCACAGACAGAGGTGCCGTGCTCTGCCGTGCCAAGGAGCCGATGCGTGCCGGGTCCGCGGACGGTCTGCACTCACCTGCTCTCTGGCCCGCGAGCTTTTCCGAACCAGCTTTCAGTTTGTTCTGCCTTTGCACAGATCCTGTCGCAAAACGCCTTCTCAGTCCGTGACAAAGGCTACGCTAATACAAGCTATTGAAAGATAAGTTATAAAAGAAGCTAGGAAAAGAAGTTACGCTCTCAACCAGGCGGTTCCACAAGCTGCATATGAAAAAAGACAGTGTAAAACAGCCAAGACAGCCGAAGTAAAAATGCTTCTACAACAACTCCTATCATCTGAACTCTTGTTCAATGCACGCTGCAGAAGTGTTTTATTTCACACTAAGGAATCCTCAAAAACACCTGCAGCATAAGAAGCTCCAATAAGAAGCAATGCAAGTCAGACTTTGCTCCTCTCTGCAGTGAAAATCACATAAATTGAATAGAGACTTTCAAGACAACGTTTCTGTAAGAAGATTAAGGACTTACTTGAAGAAAAAAGAAAAAATATACCAGCCATTTCAAGCCAAGCTTTCAACACTGCCAGCACAGTCAACTCCCGATTATACACCTAAGTTGTAAACCGGGACACTCCACAATTAGAAATCCCTCCACGAGTTTTCAGGAACCCACCTCCATCCAGCCTTTAACTGGGTTTCCTAGCAAAAGACCTTACTTACGCTGGTTTAAATCTTCTGATTTCTCTGCATGTTTCAAAACGTCACAAGGGACATTTTAAACCACAAGGAGAGGTTTGGGGTACCTCCTTTCAGTGAAGTGCCTAGTACCTACCTGCTTTAAGGTACCTCACTTTCGGATACTCAAAATCATCCTAAGCCGCTCTGAAAACAGACTTTACGACTAAACCTTTTCTTCCTCTCTCTGAAGATGCAGTAACGCCTAAAACATCTTTGCTAGCGACTTCGAGAAGAACAAATGGAATTGACGTGTTAGGGAAAGCAGGTGGCCACCAGACCCCAGCCTAATATACGCACGGATAAAGACTTTATCCCCTTCTCACTTTCAAGCTTCACTGATGTGAAGTCTTTCCTTCTCCAAGGTCACAGCAGTTCCCTGCAGGCATTTACCCACCAGCAATGCAGGTTGTACAAATCTCAGTGCACCGCTACCTCGCGAGGGAGGATGTGGAGGCAGGGCTCTCCTCCAACAGCTCTCCTGTAGGAAACCCTATTTCACTCCTGCCCACCAGCAAATTTCCCCTTCTGAGAGCTTGGGTGCAAAGACCACCTCGGGTCTGACCCAACTCCGCGAGGTGAAATCCCACCCAACCAACCCTCAGCTCGCTGCCTTTGCCGAAAAGGCCCCATACCTCGTACTTCCCTTCGTTCTCTTTCTTCATCTTCTCGACATCCAGCAGGAGCGACCAGACCTGGCCACGCACCTGGAGAGGGATCCCCTTGTACACTCGCCGATACATCTGTAAGGAGAAAGACGCACACGACCTCAGCGTAACTCAGTCTCCTGGAAGGGTATGTTTTAAGCTGGCCACGAACCATCCCCTTTACGCAGGGAAGGCATCTGATGTGCTTTACAGCCGCGATGCCCTCCGCACGCTAGCCTGCCCTCGTCTCTTCTCCATCTCCCAGGGTCAGACGCAGGCTCCTTGGCTTCACAACCCTTTGGTCTGATCTGGCATGGCCATTCCTACAAGGATGCTCAGGGACTGGGAGAAAAATACATTTCTTCCCAGACAGGAGAGCCCTTCCCACAAGGATCACAGAGATACGTCCACAGCCAAGTCCCAAAGAGAGACTCGTGCAGCGTGGCATGGGGCAACGTGGGCTACGCCAAGAGCTCTTCCCCGGATGAAGTAACAGCCTGTGTAGTGTCCCCAAAGCAAGGAGGGGGATGCGGGAAGAAAAGTGTATGTGTCTCCCCTCCCACCTCCATGTGTTCACTTCATGCATTTCACAGATGCTTCCCTTTTTTCTCGTCATAAGGCCCTCTCCCTCTGAAGAGGCCATTAAATTTCAATAGGAAACAGAAAAGAAGGGCTTTTGTTTCATCCCTGACTTCTCCCATTCGAAGAAAGATCTTGGGAGAAAAAAAAGTGTCTTGTTTCTGAATATTTTCCACCCATTAATTCATCCCACCCTTGAAATGCCTTGCAGCTGCGCTATAAAACCCACTGCAGCATTCCTCAAGGCTCCCGAGGTCCCCAGGGCGAGGGGACGGATTTGCCACATGCTGCCCAAACTCCAGCCGTGCCAGCTGGGGGATTTCCGTTAGGGAGCGGAGCACCACGCAGAAACGCCCTCGGGACTAGGCACCCGCGTGCACACAGAGCGGCAGCAGGGTGTAAAGGTGATGGCTCCCAGGGTCTGGGAAGCAGCCCTTTGCTCCACGCTGCGCTAGGGAGCTCTGCGCTCAGTGCATGCCACGTGCCAGGAATCAAATGGAGCTACTCACGGTGTCTGCTAGAAGTGCAGCCAACCTCCTTAAAACTCCCTCTCTCTTTCTATAGGGAGTTCTGCTTCACACGTTTAAGGCTAGTGCAAGGTATGGGCCGCAGTTCAAGGGGAAGCGCTAAGGTGCACAGCGTTATCAAAAGGTTTTCTATACACTGGAGCGCTTGACATGGTCCTGCAGCGTCGCATTCACATCTCCTACAGCGAGCAGAGCATTTGCTACTTTCACACCTTCCCTTTCCGGCACATCTCACGTAATCAGTATTCTCACTCCTGGCTTGAATTTTAAACTCTCCTCTGTACGCAAGGCTAAAAGGAATGTAAATACGGCACTGCGTTTCGAGCTGCAACGCAGTTCACACATCGTGTAGCGCTCTCCGGGGTGACTCTGCGGGATGCAGTTAGCATAACCGAGCTGAGAGTCTCCCAGACTATGAACTCGCGCTCTTACAGCTCCTGGTTTTAGTACTGTCTGCAGCACTAGGCTTACTGAGGTAGGGGCTGTACCATGCACAGCCAAGACAGCTCTTGCCTCAAAGAGCTGCTGCAAGACAAGATAGGAGGTAGGGTTCAAGCAGACAGGCTAGGAGACTGCCAAGAAATAAATTCATCCTAGTTAAAGTAAATAAATATATGTGTATTAAGTAATAAACGCAAAGACTGTCACGTAGTAGTAGTAAAAGTGAGGGCTGCGTAAGCTAGATACGGTGTTAGAGCACTTGTCCATCCAGTTACAGTACGCATTTCAGTATTTCTGCTGACACAGGTGCCCAACAAGTACAACGGATGTTCAACACTTTTAAATCCAGTCTAAGCACTTGCAAACCACTTGCTCTGCCCGAGTCTGTTGCTGCCCATACTTGCGGGCGTGTGGAAGGATCACCCCTGCGCGTAGTCTCATTAGCTTTGAGGGGCCAATGCATGGAGAACTATCCCCTAAAAACATCCTTTGCAAGACCACGCTTCTCCCCTGTAAGTACTGAACAAGAACCGCAAGCATGACATCAAGATGTGTGCGTGGTTGGAGAGGGTCACCAGCTTCCGTGATAGCATCCCTCATTTTAAACGGGACATCGCTTAATGCATAGTCTGCCCTCGTACATCAAACCGAGCAGCTTCTGCTCATCCTCTTGGGCAAGGCTCATGCCAGGAGGTGTTTCTTGTGGACAGCTGGAAAAAACTTCCAAGCTGCATGTTAGACAGATTCACCCCAGCCGCTGCAAACGCAGGCACCCAGCTTCTGGACCAACCGCTTTCAGAAGATAAGCAGAGATTCCTGTTCCCCTTTTGGAGGGAGTTACCCAAAAAAAAAATCAACGTAAATCAACATGAAAGAAATACCACTTCTCCTGACACATCACGACTAGATGAAATATTTTGCCCAAGCCGTACTGATACAGAGCCAAGGAAAGCCTGTCTCCAGCAGGCGTCTGGGACACAGCAAAGCGAAGGCCGAGGGGAGATCAAGAAACTGGAGGAAGTCTCAATTCAGTTAGAATCGCTTCATGATGTATTGACTTCCAAAGCATTATGAGAGCCTGACTGACGGTTGCCAAGGTAGAACAAGATGCTCAGGTCTGTGGGAAGAAAGTCATTTTGTTTTGAATTCTTGAGCTGTTACTGTTGTACTTTAATGAATACAATCCTCACCAGCATATAGCAAGTGTCTCTGATGATTTTCTCCGTATGGGAGTGCAGCAGGAACAAGGGAGTTGCAAAACATGCCGAGACTGAACTGAACTAAATGGCCTCTCTGTTATTTATCCCAGGGCCTTCCTCCTCCCACCACCTCCAACAGTGAAAGCGATAAAACTTAAGAGCTGTATGAGTCATGAGGAGTAAAAATGAGCAATTTTCCTTCATCGTGAAACTTGAAGGAAAACAGGGAAGTTATCATTAAAAGCAGCAATTACACTGGGATGAAACAACTGAGGGAAGGCAGCAGCTGAGAGCTTCATCGCTCAGCAGTTTCCTGCCTCATGTGAAAAATGAATAAAACTCAAGGTCACGATCTTTTGTCTCCAATAAGCAGCTGAACACTTAAATATCAGGAGAGCGCTCCTAGATCATGGCAGCCCCCTGCCCCAAGCAGAATGACAGCGAAGTCGAAGCAGGGGAGGAAGAGCAAATATCACCCCGTTTCACAGACGGGAACTGAGATGCCAGTGGTTGAAGCGATGGCTCGAGGTGCTGCACAGAAAGGCCATGTCAGAGCCAAAAACTAAGCCTACAGCATCTAAAATCTAGTCCAGGTTTGGCCACAGGATTATCTTTCCTTTCTAGGCTTTAACATATAAAGCTCGCAGCAGAGAGGTAGGTCATCATCCCATCCCTAGTCCTCCCTTTACCATATACTTATTTTTACTTTTTAAGAGCTGGGAGGGGGAAGGCTATCAAAACGCAGACTCCAGAGAAAGCCAGGAAAGGTCCTTGCAAGGAAAGCCTGTAGGGTGATGAGAAGCTGGGAAGTGTATCCTGACTTCCCTCTGTTGCCAGGGAATGCAAAGCTGGCCGGGGGAGGGG